ACACACACACAACAACAACAATAACAACCCGGTGTAATCCCACAGGTGGGGTCTGGGGAGGGTAGGATGTACGCAGCCTTACCCCTACCCTGGAAGGGCAGAGAGACTATTTCCAATAGACCTTCGGCGCGCACACACAAACAAAAAAAGAAAGAAGCAAGAGCACAAAGTACGATCTCGAGTATTTTTATGATTCTCAAGGGAGAATGTGAAGAAGTATCACTGATATTCCCTTTTTCCTTTCATGAAGGGCGCTTTAATAGGCTCACATAAAGGCAGCTGTCGTGTGTACACTACCTCTGGTAAGTAATGCATTACTTACCATCTTTTATTGATGTGATAATGACCATAGGAATACAGCTGCTGATTTCCAATGTGCGTTTATTCCTAAGAATGCAAACTGGAACAAAAAGACAACATCGACATTCAACCTAAGAAAAATTCTCAGCTCAAGAAGGTCACTGGTTTACAGGTACTTCTCTTTTCTAGAGTTACTACTGTTTATGTGTACAGTCTTCTTTTCCTCAAAACCTATGAAAGCTGAACTTGTTTACTTCCAGTTTGCCCCATGGAACCCAGCAGAAGTGCTTATAACTTCAGCTGATTCTCGCATCAGAATTTTTGATGGGTCAGAGATGATCTATAAGTTTAGAGGTATTTTCTCTCTGATATACTCTTTTGGAGAGTTCAAACAACATTCCTGTGTACTCTAAACCAAGGTTCTATTGTGTGGTAGCATCAGGTTTCCGAAATACAAGCAGCCAGATTGCAGCTTCCTTCAGTTCAGATGGGAAGTATGTCATAAGTGCAAGTGAAGACTCTCATGTCTACATCTGGAAGAGAGAAGAACCTAAGACCCCCACTGGTAAACGTAGAACTTCAATCTCTGTTCAAGCTCACGAGCGCTTTCAATGTAAAGATGTTTCAGTTGCCATCCCATGGCCAGGTAGTGTAAAGAATGAACCACCACTCGTAGAGATGCACTCAAAAAGGCATTCAAAACGTTTCCTCCCGCCCCCATATCCCACTGTTGGCTCTCCTACAAAAGAAAACCCCGATGTGGCAAATAGTAAAAGGCACTTGCCACCTCTACCCATAAAAGTTAATGCATCGGAGAGAGTCCAAAGTAGTCAGGAAGAGGAAGACTTAGCTCAACTTTCTCGGACAGATTCTGGTATTGGTCCCAGTGAATCATTTGTATCAGGTTCTTCATCAACTAGGTTTGGTGATTCACCTTCTATATCTGCGTCCAGCAGCTCACGATCACACTCTTGGTCCTCCTCCTGGTCTCAAGATGGTAGTAACAGCAATGGCAGCAACGTTGTCCAAGCAACAGCATGGGGCATGGTAATCGTGACAGCTAGTTTGGGAGGTGAGATCAGAGTCTATCAAAATTTTGGGCTACCTCTGAAAGCTGGTCGTCAGACCAATCTCTTTAGAGACCTGACATAAATTGTTGTTGAGGGAACAAAGCGATACCTATATTCTGTTCTTGAGCTTGAAATTTTTCTATAAGTACTTAGTTGTTTAAGACTTAGTCGAGCTCAAGTTACACTGAACAAGGCAGAAGCCATCGGCTTCACATTGTTGATAAGTAAATGCGGAAAAAGTTAAGTTTTTTCCTTTTAGTACCTTGTACAATAGAAAGACCAAGCAGAGATCACAGTGGTTCAATGTTCCAACAAATTGAGCATTTTAACTAGCATTATGCAAAGCTTTGCTTTTTTAACAAGTGTCTCACAGGTTAGCAGTTACAGATCACAGATACATGAGAAAATTCATTGGCTGCACACTTACTTATTTTTATAACAGATCAATCAACAAACTTCCAACTCTACCTCTATCCCGTATTAGTTGGGGTCAACTGTTTGAATCATTAGACTACTTTTAGCTGGTCCTCGACCTACTGCACAGCGTTCTTTATCTGGCTTGGGACAAACTATGCTTTGGAAAGGATGATACTAAGCTATCCCTCGGTTTTTTTAAATGAAAGCACAAGACAAAGGTAGTTCCAAATTTTTTGAAACTTTTGCAAACATTAAAAAGAAAAAGAAAGGGAAGCTTTCATTGTAGTAGTAAAGGTAGTTCAAAGATTTCAAGTTCGGATTTTTGAATCCCTTTGTTAAAATTCTTGGCTCCGCCATTGATTTATTTGCAAAGGCTTTCATTAGAGATGTGCAGTGATATTTCTTCATTTTAGTTTCATTTTAACTTAGAAAACCGATGACTATTTATTTTTATTTTTTTTTTAAAAAAGAGGACCATTTACCTAAACCAAGGATAACTAGAGATGTTCAGTGATAACTGAAGCAAAGACTTTTTGATAACAGTAACTAAGATTATCCTATAAAACCAGCAGATTTGAAGCAAGATAACTGAAAATACTCTTTAAAATATGTGCTGAAGCTAATGCAATAACCAAGAAATTAACTGCGCAAAGCGAATGGATTTACCCATTTTTACAGTCTGAATAGTGAGTAGTTCTCTCGAATTTTCCAAATTCTGCTTGTGTTGTCGCTCCGCAACCGAAAATGAGTGGAGCAATGGCTTCATTCTGCTCATTTACTACTTTTGCCCTCCATGAATACAAGATTCTTCAGTTATTTGATCAAAATAAAGCCTTGTACAACCTTCTAAGCCCAAATCAGTTGCCATATTTGGTGCGAGGGACAAGCATAATAATTTTCTGATATTTCTTTTGGTATAAATAATCTTGAGTTAGTGCAATTTGTTACTATTATTTTTAGATAATAATTAATGTGGATAATAATCTAAAAATTAGTTAATTCTAGGATAAAACAACTAAAGGACAAAGATGTGTTCTCTAAAACTCTTCTCCGAAGGTCTTCTATGAAGGCCAATATTGAAATTGAAAATAAAAATTTATTCAAATTTATTTAGTGTAAAATCAAATTCTTAATATATATTATATCCACATATCTCATTTGAACTCAATATACCAAAAAAGTATATTTATTTATAATTTTGCATTTAATCCCCAAAATATAACCTTAAAATAACTTGTTTGCAAGCCAAACAACTTCTTAAAGTTAATCTCACATAGTTAGATAGACAGACAATATAAATAATTTTGAATCTATTCAAACATAATTTTTTTGAAATTGAAAGAAAGAAAGAAAAAAGAACATTTGAAGTTAACGTTGTGAATACCTAATTTTTGCACTATTTTAACATCTCCTACATTCATTAGTGTTTTATTATTTAATTATTTTTATCAATTTTGTGTCTTTAATTGCATATTTTCTATCATAAAAATACCAAAAAGAAAAATAGTTCTTTCTTCATTTGTACATTTTAGGAATTAACTAAATGTTCAATTGGTGAATTAATCTAATTAATTGATCACTTGAATAAGTTATTTAATCAATTTATTTGTTTGTGTAAATTTAGTTTAATAAGTAGGATTAAGGAAGAAATTGGGCCAAATTTAAAAGAGAAAGTGGCCAAGAGTGCAAGACAAGGGGCTGTCATGGGAGGATTTTACTCGTTGTTTCAAGACAAAACTACGTCGTTTTGATTAAGTAAATGAAAATCCATCATGGCCATTCATTCCATCTTAATCTAATGGTTAAAATTTATCCCTAACTAAAATATAAAAGCTAAAAATCAGAATTTTCCCCCATTTTCCAAACCCTAAAACCGCCCCCTTCTCTCTCTCACCCTCTCGCAAAGCCGCCGCCGCTCCACCGCTGCCACCACCGTGCGCCGCCGCCGATGGTGGTCCAATCAGCCCCATTTTTTCACCCTATGCTGTCCTTAACCCCCTCTTTCCGAATCTCCAAGCTAAATTCCCCAAAAACCGTTCAAACTCCACGAATTTTAGATCTAGAAGTCCCACCCGCTACCTTTTTCTTAAAATCGTGAAGATTAAGCCACCCTTTCCACCTAATTCTTACATACATCGATAGAGCTCAGCGGGGACTATCTTTTCATATTGGTCTTGACCCAAAACTCCAGCGACCGGAATTCCGGCGATTACCACTGCCGCTGCCACACCTCTACCCCACCACTGCTCCTTTTTTTTAGCCTAGTTCCAACCCAAGAACACCCGTTTTCTTTTGGTATGACATCGAGTTCATTGAGCTTAGTGTCTACTAAAATGAACGAGTGTTCTACGATCGGGCAGCCGCTACTCGGGGTCCCCGGCATTCGTCTCATTGCTCGATTCGACGTCGAATGTCCTGGAGTTTGGTATAAGATCGCACCCTAATCCTTTCCCCTTTTTTCGTAATTTCTATTTTTTTTCCATTTAAGTTTAGGTTTTAGTTTAATTTTCTATTTTCAATTGATTGTTAATCTGTGATCGTTAGTTCGTGTTACTTTCATTAACATTCTTTAATGTTGGTCGTTGCTTAATTTTCGAATTAGGTACTTAGTCGTTTGTTTAGGATTACTATTAATCGTTGTTCGATAGCTTATCAATGTTCATTTAAGTTGTATTTTAGGTAGTGTTTCCTGATTACAATCATCTACTGTTTAGTTCCCATAAATCGATTGACTTCAGTTTAGTTTGTTTGAATATTTAGTTCGATTACATTTTAAGTCTTTTCTGTTTTGCTAGTTCTAGTTGGTTTGAGTTGGAGTATATAAGCTGAATTTCAGTCATGTGTTGAAAAAAGCTCAACACTTGAGTATAGGGTACATAGTTTGTCACTTTTTACTGTTCAAAGACTTTTTGAGTACTAAATTCTAAAATGTCTGTCATTGTTTGGTAAAAAAAACTGTGTCTTGGACAGATTTTTAACAAAAAATCTATCCTTTGAATAGTTTGGACAGATTTTTGGTAAAAAATTATGTCCAAAGGACAGATATTCATAATGAAATCATGTCCCTCCTCTCCTATAAAGAGAGGGTCTTTCTTTTACTTTAGGGGAGGAGTTGAACACACACTTTAACACACTTACATCTTTTGCACAACAAAAAAAAAATAACACTTGAGAGAAAAATCAGTAGTTGAACATCTGATAAGTAAGCTGAAATTTGAGCTTTTGAGTTTTTTTTTTTTTTGGAGGGCAAAAATCTCAAGTTTCTTGAAGCTAATTCTGGGTTTCTCCTTGTAATTTTGTTGAGTTTTAAGGTCGTAGTTTTGGGCTTAAGCTGCTGGTTTGGTTGCTGTCAGTGGTTTCATTCTCTCGGTGAGTGTTTACTTGTGAAAAGTAAAGTTTCCTCACTGATGTTTGCTGATTTTTCTGCATTAGGTATTCTCCTTTACATTTAATAATGTAACTCTTGAATAAAGTTTATGGAACATGAGTTTATTTTAGTCATCTGAATCTATTCGGATTATCTTAAATATGATCTGAGTTGACTGGTACGAATAATGAATGCTTGAGTATTAGAGTTCATTTGTATGTAGATTATAAACTTTAAAATAGTTTTTTTTTCTTGTGTAAATAACAAACATGTGATGGTGTGCTTTATTTCTGTCTGGAGTTTCAAGATATAACATAATGTGTAGTTTCTAGCAATGTTCTTTAGGTATTTTGTGTTAATAAACTTTAAGGCAGAATGTTTAAATCACTGGACTGGGCAGTAGCATGTTTATTCTTCATTTTCTATTAGTATGCTAATAGAAGATTAAGTAAAAAATAAATTTAGTGTATTTGTTTTGGAAGTTTAAATCTATAGTTCATTTAAATAGAAAATGGTATTGAAGCAGATCCTAGTCTGTAAGATGTAGTAGATTCGACTTTAAGTCTTCATGTTGGAATAGAGTTCCTATTAGGAACTTGAATTACAACATGTATTTCTCATTAAGTCAATAATCTTTTTATATATTTATTTTTAAGTAAAATTACCAATAAAAGTGAAATCAAGTATTTTATTTTGACTCTTGAAGCTAGATGCGATCAATAATTTTAGAGTAATATTTTATTAAGTCTTGGGTGAGGAAAAGAGTTTCTTTTCTAAGGATAATTCTAAATGTTTATAAAAAGGTGGCGGATGCGTCATTTGTTGTTGATTTTGATGATCTAAAACTCAATTACGTCTAGTTTGGAATAAACTTATCATTTGCTATTGTCGGAACAATTTACAAAAAGAAAAGATAGCAAATGGGCCATTATTTGAGTTGTATTTTTGGATTTTTGTTTATTAACTGAAAAAAATAGGAATTAGACCAAAAGTCAAACTGCCAAGCTCACTTCCACAAGAAACAAAGCTGATCTATTTTTTTTTAAAAGAAAATAAAGCCGGCCTCAAACATTAAAGCGTTAAGTTCGACAAAAGCTTTTCAATGATTTTTTTTTTATAAAATTAATTAAGTTCGCTAGGTAATTAGTAGGTGCACTTTAACTTTTATTTTCATTCACGTGCTCGCTTGCGTAGCGTGATATTTAACATTCAATAACCCTATACAATATCTAATAGCTTTAATTAAAGTTCTAGTTTAATTAATCCCTTGCTTATAACTGCGAATTCGCTTGTGTAGTGCGGTAGTTGACATTTAATAAATTTCAAACAAAAATATTTTTTCCAAATGTAGCAATTTTTTCCAAAAGTAATAACGTGCTAATAATCATTTGTCATGACTGCGGATTCGCTTGCGTCGCGCTGTTATGACTAAATTAATAAATTTCGTCGATCATGCATTCGCTTGCGTAGTGTGGTTATGACATCTTATTATTCAAAGTATTCTTTAATTTTTCTAATAATCAAGAAATAAAAGCGGATAGGATAAAACATGAAAAATCAAATAAAAACACAG